ACCGTAAACACAACATGCAGTTCGACTACTCCCAAGTTCGAAGTTAGTGAAACAAATATCAAGATAAACAGAAAACTCCGGTGTCATAAATGCACTGACAACCCCTAGTGAGCTGAATTTCCTCAGGCCCCTCCTACACACAGAATCACGGATCGCATCGTGGTAGAACTCAAAGGAGAAAAGGGAACGGCGTACTTCCAGTTTCCTGCTCTCATATTACGCTTCGAAGAGCCCTTTATGGCATATATTAATTAACTCCTCAGCTCCTTTTGCATATATTTGCCTTATTGCAGTGAGGTTAAGTGGTGGAGGAAGGGAAAGAGAAATAAATCGTGTAGCACGACACAGAAAGACCATTTCATCAGTGGTGATATCAAATTAGGTGGAGCGGGATGGAGGGATAAGTGTGTGAGAATAGTAGAAAAGAAGTACGAGAGGGGGGAGGAAGGAGCGACGAATATGTCACCAAGAGGGCCTCAAGAGGAAGAAGTGGGTGTGGCGACGGAGGTGGAACGCGACAACTCACTGCCCACCTGATAGGAAGCAATTTTGTCCCAGTCTATCTTGCTCCTAAACACCGGCAGCGGACGACGCAACGCTTTAAAAGATTTATCCGACATTTCGTCCAGACTCTTTCCAATCGCCTCCTAAAGGCAGAAAGTGACTTAAACTGTAATTCGGTGCTTCGGAAAATAGTTAATTGTGAGCAAAATTGAAAAGTTAAATGGGCCATGGATGCAAACTTCTCAAAGAACCGCATAGTCAGAATAACGCAAATTTAATAAAACTCCGGGAGTTAATTCTGTATCAACCCCAATGAAATCGTTTAAGAAGAGCATAATGAAATCAACCCTCAAGTTGTTTGTCCAAATGTCCGTTTTTCAAGTCCTCAAGTAGGCGATAAAGCAAACCACTGCTAATGCTAGGTTCTGCATCGATAGTTCTGCAAATAAAATTCTTCAAAATGAAAGCGCAGTAAATAGTGAGTGGTGTGGAATGTAAAAAGAATTGAAAAAAGATCCCTCGAAATTTCATTTCTAGATCACTTAACAGTACTAGGGATAAGGGTGAAACAAATTGCTAATACTCATAAAAAGACAGACAATTATTCATACCTAAGTAATGTGTCCGATTTCCTTACTAGGGGCGTAAGTCCAACCACTCAATATTAGGATAATGTCACATGAGATATGCTATAGATTGGCAAAAATGTGGCAGCTGCTTAATTGCAAAAGTAGGTCCAAATTTAAGCATCAATGGAACTTTCAAAAGTCGGTGAGTTAAAAGGACGTGCTTGGCAAATTAAAGATCAAGAGATAAAAACTGACAGCAGCACTGTTAAACACTGAGTTCAAACGAATAAACTACCACAAGACTGACTGATATATTTGTTTTTGAGGCAGTACAGTAGGATGCTAGTCAGTCTGTTTAAATAATGAAACCGGAGACTAGATAATTGGGCTCAAAAACAAAAACGCTTATACATTTCGCAAGAATTACAAAAATAATGTTGATCAGGCAACTAGAAACGCTCAACAAATGCCCGATCAGGATGACCTCATAGAAGTATATGAGGCATTGAGAAATTAAATCCGCATAAAAGAATAAATGAAACTGCTTAAGTACCCAAAGCACGGTCCAAACAGGGATGCATGAATAACAAAGGTATGTGCATGCATAAATGCGCCAAAAAAACCGCCATGGCTATCCTATACACATTCACACAACGATCTCTTCTGCAGGTATCGATTAGGTCCAAAGAAAGCTGCATTGTGCATATAAGTGCACTATTTATAGCAACCTGTTTGTGACTTCAATGTTAAAATTGGTAAAAAGGGACTTCAGCAATGCGAGTTCGCAAGAAGAAAATGAAACCAAATATTCCAACCTGGTAGCTTGCATCACACTCGGTTATTTTTCTGCAAACCTCCTGGCCCAGATACTCGGGCGACTTTGCAACAGCCTCAAACTTGAACGACTTGGAGGAGAGAAGTTGAACGTTCCCCTCTTCAAAGATGTGCGTCTAAAATCAGGCATGGGTTACCGAGGTAATAACAGTTAAAACACGGTGCTGTGTTTTGGAGGGCAAACCTGGATTCGGATTTCGCCGCAACACTGGCAAGTTGTACCCTCAATTCTATCAGGTATGGTTAACGTCCATCGCGACTTCCAACGACCACTTCTATAACCAGCAATAAGATAAACTAATTCTAAGGAAAACTCAGGGCATTTCTTGAAAACCACGTACCGGAAATTACGGTGGAAACTAGATTCAACGTAAATCACAATTAAAGAGTTTTTCGAGCCCGCCGGAGCAAATACGGAAACGGCACCTTCAGGAAAATTCCGACCCATGTATGTGGATAGGGCGTCTTCAATTGCGGCTCGCCAGGGTTCCAATTTAATGCTACCACCTTCACGATCATCAGGCTCAAGAGAGGAGACATTATCCACCGAAAGTTTATCAAGATCAAGTCTAAATGACTTATGTGACCTTGGACAAAGGAATTTCCCGTCACCCAGGTAGCCATGCTCCGTAACAAGAGTGTTCTTCGAACTTCCAGGCAAAGTGACTTGTATGGTTTGCTCCATAGCATACTGCAGGAGACTCCTAAAGTAGTTAACGGCTACAATATGCGCACTTGAGAATCTTCCTCTCAATGAGGCTATTTTCGCCGGCAAGGACCTTGACATCTAAACAAAATAAGTTGCACTAAAGAGCTAAAGTATGGTACCCTTGACAACTTCACTAGTCTGCCTTGGCGGAGCTAAAAGTACAAGGCTCGCGCCGATTTCTGCCTATAATTGGGAATAAAGCATTAATATATAAATGCAACTCATAAAAATAATAGATAACGAACCCTTTCATCTGCGGAAATCCCATCACCCATTTTAGCACTCATAAAAAGCGGTCGTCAGTCAAACCGTTAAAACCATTCGGTAGATCTGTTTAGATGAGTGATTATTAAGTAAAAGTATTAATGTTGTACACAACCGCTACACTTGCCCTTTGCTAACGCAGTGCTAGTAGATTATAAAAATTGATGTGAAAGTTACATTTTGCACAATCATAATATGGAAATACATTTACCATATTTAAGAATTTTAGAGGGAATACTATAAAAAAGTTGCCGAAATTTAAATTTTGTACTTATGATGATAAGTGAAACTTTTAAGACTTTCCATTATATAGAAGGTATTGAGTAGGACTGAGTGCATGTCTAGAGGA